TTAGTCCATTTCAGACCCCCAAAAATACACGTACAAACGCACTTACATAAATACACTTACATAATTGGTCGCATTCGGAGGTGATCTTTATGCGGGGGTCCACTGTATTTATATTATTATTGTACATATTATTATATTTTTATATTATATGTATTATTATTATTATTATTGTCAGTATTATATTATTATTATTATTATTATTATTATTATTATTATTATTATTATTATTACAGTAGTAGGTTGGTAAAGGGCAACCACCCAGGGAGGAACTACCATCCTGCCAAGTGAGTTTAAAACGAAAGCCTGTAATTGTTTTACATGATGGTAGGATTGCTGGTGTCTTTTGTCTGTCTCATAAATATGCAAGATTACAGGTACATCTTCCTACTTCTACTTACACTTAGGTCACACTACACATACATGTACATGTTTATTTATACACATTCATCTGAGTTTTCTTTGATTTTATCTTAATAGTTCTTGTTCTTATTACTTTTCCTTTTATATCCATGGAGAAGTGGGATAAGAATCTTTCCTCCGTAAGCCATGCATGTTGTAAAAATTGACTAAAATGCCAGGAACAATGGGCTAGTAACCCCCTTTCTTGTAATGATTACTAAAAAGAATCAGACAGTTATTTTTATATAGCCAGACTTCAGTCCTGGAAATGGGAAGTACAATGCCTGCACTCTAAAGGAGGGGTTTGGGATATTGGCAGTTTGGAGTGATATACAGTGGAACCTCAAAAATCGAACTTAATCCGTTCCAGGAGCTAGTTCTAAATTCGAAAAGTCTGAAATTCGAAGCAATATTTCCCGTAAGAAATAATGGAAATACAATTAATCCATTCCAGAAACCTAAAAGTATTCACACAAAAAATACATTTTATAGAGATTAATTAGTTTTACATACAACAAATACTATAGTTTTTAATTATGTATAGTAATACATATAAAATAATATTTTTACTTACCTTTATTGAAGATTGATGATGGCATCTGGAAGATAGGGAGGAGGGGAGAGGGAGTTGGGGTTAGTGTTTGGAAGGAGAATCCCCCTCCATGAGGACTTCAGGTAAAGCCCTCTCTGGGGTTACTTCCCTTCTCTGTCTTTTAATGCCACTAGGACCAGCTTGAGAGTCACTGGACCCCTGTCTCACAAAATAACTGTCCACAGTCCTCTGTTTCTGGTGCCTCTTTAACATTTCCCTAAAATGGGACATGGTTCTGTCACTGAACTTGTTGCAAAGATGGCTTGTTTCAGCTTGCTCAGGGTGGTACTTCTGCACAAACATTTGGACATCATTCCACTTGGCACAAATCTCCTTAATCTTTGAAGAAGGCACCTCATCCACTCCCTATATTAACACCTTTCTCAACATCAGCTTCCTTGATTTATTCTTTCTTTGACAGGATAGAACCGATGGTCGACTTGTATTTCCCATACATCCTGGCAAGCTCAAGTATTATTTCCTTCTTCACATCTATGGTGTTTCTCACTTTCTTTAACACAGGGGTACCACTAGCAAGTTTCTTTGGGCCCATGGCAGCTTATTTCACAGTCCCACAAGCACTAAACAACGAAATAATCGTAAAATGCGTGAATGAGAGCACAGGTTAGTGTTCACTCAAGCATAAACAAAGCTAGACTGCTCACAGCGCCTGCGTGGGGACGCAGGCGGCAGACAGGTCCCATACCCGGCGGTCTGAAAATAGGGGCGTGTTCGATAATAGGGACACAGTTTGTCCGAAAAAATGGTCCTATTTTCGAAACGTTCGATAAGTGATACGTTCGATTTTTGAGGTTCCACTTTTATATGGGTGTGAAGCTTGGGTTGTAAATGCTGCAGCAAGGAGGCAGTTGGAGGCAGTGGAGATGTCCTGTCTAAGGGCAATGTGTGGTGTAAATATTATGCAGAGAATTCGAAGTGTGGAAATTAGGAGGTGTGAAGTTACTAAAAGTATTAGTCAGAGGGCTGAAGAGGGTTTGTTGAGGTGTTTTGGTCATTTAGAGAAAATGGATCAAAGTAGAATGACATGGAGAACGTATAAATCTGTAGGGAAAGGAAGGCGGGGTAGGAGTCGTCCTCGAAAAGGTTGGAGGTAGGGGGTAAAGGAGGTTTTGTGGGAGAGGGGTTTTGGACTTCCAGCAAGCATGCGTGAGCGTGTTAGATAGGAGTGAATGGAGACAAATGGTATTTGGGACCTGATGAGCTGTTGGAGTGTGAGCAGGGTAATATTTAGTGAAGGGATTCAGGGAAACCAGTTATTTTATATAGCCGAACTTGAGTCATGGAAATGGGAAGTACAATGCCTGCACTCTAAAGGAGGGGTTTGGGATATTGGCAGTTTGGAGGGATATATTGTGTATTTTTATACCTGTATACTTCTAAACTGTTATATTCTGGGCACCTCTGCAAAAGCAGTGATTATGTGTGAGTGAGGTGAAAGTGTTGAATGATGATGAAAGTATTTTCTTTTTGGGGATTTTCTTTCTTTTTGGGTCACCCTGCCTCGGTGGGAGACGGCCGACTTGTTGAAAAAAAAAATATTCTAGCAGCTTCAAATCAAGCAGGAGAAAGCTGGTAGACCCACATGTGAGAGAATGGGTCTGTGGTCAGTGTGCACCGTATAAAAAAAAATCCTGCAGCATGCAGTGCATAATGAGAAAAAAAAAACTCCGACCATATTTTTGGATTAAAATGACTTTGGGTATTTTCGTATAGTATTTAGACAGGGATGTGTAATGTCACCATGGTTGTTTAATATATTTATAGATGGGGTTGTAAAAGAAGTAAATGCTAGGGTGTTCGGGAGAGGGGTGGGATTAAATTATGGGGAATCAAATTCAAAATGGGAATTGACACAGTTACTTTTTGCTGATGATACTGTGCTTATGGGAGATTCTAAAGAAAAATTGCAAAGGTTAGTGGATGAGTTTGAGAATGTGTGTAAAGGTAGAAAGTTGAAAGTGAACATAGAAAAGAGTAAGGTGATGAGGGATCAAATGATTTAGATAAAGAAAAATTGGATATCAAATTGGGGAGGAGGAGTATGGAAGAAGTGAATGTTTTCAGATACTTGGGAGTTGACGTGTCGGCGGATGGATTTATGAAGGATGAGGTTAATCATAGAATTGATGAGGGGAAAAAGGTGAGTGGTGCGTTGAGGTATATGTGGAGTCAAAAAACGTTATCTATGGAGGCAAAGAAGGGAATGTATGAAAGTATAGTAGTACCAACACTCTTATATGGATGTGAAGCTTGGGTGGTAAATGCAACAGCGAGGAGATGGTTGGAGGCAGTGGAGATGTCCTGTCTAAGGGCAATGTGTGATGTAAATATTATGCACAAAATTCGGAGTGTGGAAATTAGGAGAAGGTGTGGAGTTAATAAAAGTATTAGTCAGAGGGCAGAAGAGGGGTTGTTGAGGTGGTTTGGTCATTTAGAGAGAATGGATCAAAGTAGAATGACATGGAAAGCATATAAATCTATAGGGGAAGGAAGGAGGGGTAGGGGTCGTCCTCGAAAGGGTTGGAAAGAGGGGGTAAAGGAGGTTTTGTGGGCGAGGGGCTTGGACTTCCAGCAAGCGTGCATGAGCATGTTAGATAGGAGTGAATGGAGACGAATGATACTTGGACCTGACGATCTGTTGGAGTGTGAGCAGGGTAATATTTAGTGAAGGGATTCAGGGAAACCGGTTATTTTCATATAGTCGGACTTGAGTCCTGGAAATGGGAAGTACAATGCCTGCACTTTAAAGGAGGAGTTTGGGATATTGGCAGTTTGGAGGGATATGTTGTGTATCTTTATACGTATATGCTTCTAAACTGTTGCATTCTGAGCACCTCTGCAAAAGCAGTGATAATGTGTGAGTGTGGTGAAAGTGTTGAATGATGATGAAAGTATTTTCTTTTTGGGGATTTTCTTTCTTTTTTGGGTCACCCTGCCTCAGTGGGAGACGGCCGACTTGTTGAAAAAAAAAAAAATTATGGTTGTATCCTCATTTCCTTGGTCTCATTTGATAGAATGAAAACCATATTATAGAAATAGAGGTGATTGGTTTTACTATGAAAAGAACCTTGAAATGGAGCTTGAAGTAAGGGAAATGTTTGATTTTTTGCCAATGTTCAAAAGTAAACAAATGATGTTATTTTCTAATAGATGTCCAAGTAGCTATTCTAATATGCAGTCATGAACGGTTTGAAATTATTTAAACAATTATTACAATATTGCTGTAGTCTGCATAACAGTAAATCTTCTATTTTTTGTTTGAATTAAAATTCAAAATAGAAAGCAAGAGTAATATCAGAGGGGCCTGGAGACTTGACTGATGAACAAAGAAAATGTTATTTTAGAGCCAGGAATGTCTGCATTGTTCATTCTGGACCCTATTTTGAAATTGTCTAATATTTAATTTTCATGAAATTGGCCATTTGGCCATTTGGTGGTTTGGTCATTTAGAGAGAATGGATCAAAGTAGGATGACATGGAGAGCGTATAAATCTGTAGGGGAAAGAAGGCAGGGTAGGAGTCGTCCTCGAAAAGGTTGGAGGGAGGGGGTAAAAGAGGTTTTGTGGGCAATGGGCCTTGGACTTCCAGCAAGCATTCATGAGCATGTTTGATAGGAGTGATTGGAGACAAATGGTTTTTAGGACCTGACGAGCTGTTGGAGTGTGAGCAGGGTAATATTTAGTGAAGGGATTCAGGGAAACTTTTTTTTTTTTTTATGTAACCAGACTTGAGTACTGGAAATGGGAAGTACAGTGCCTGCACTTTATAGGAGAGGTTTGGGATATTGGCAGTTTGGAGGGATATGTTATATATATTTATATTTATTTATACAAGTTGACTAAAGTGTCTCGGAGAGGGCCTGTCGACCCTCAAAGGGTTAAATCTAAGTCTACTGGAACTGATAAATTTTCAATTAACCTCCAAGAAAAATTCTTTTCAATTCAGTAAAAAATAATACATGGCATTAATATAATTTTTTTATAACTAGGTAAATTGGTAAATTTGGGTGTTTTATCACTGCGAGACAATCGACTCCAGTACATTCCTCCTGAAACTGGCAACTGCTGTGAACTTCACGTCCTTGATGTTTCAGGAAACCGGTAAGTTTTTCAACTATTTTTCTCACTTATTTTAATGTTATAAACAACTTTTAGAGAGGGTGTGGTAGGTAAGTTTGTGGTGCCAGGTGTAAATGAAAATGGGAGCCCTTTGATTGAACTTTGTATAGAAAGGGGTTTAGTTATAGGTAATACATATTTTAAGAAAAAGAGGATAAATAAGTATACAAGATAAGATGTAGGGCGAAATGACAGTTTGTTGGATTATGTATTGATAGATAAAAAACTGTTGAGTAGACTTCAGGATGTACATGTTCATAGAAGGGCCACATATATATCAGATCACTTTCTAGTTGTAGCTACACTGAGAGTAAAAGGTAGATGGGATACAAGGAGAATAGAAGCATCAGGGAAGAGAGAGGTGAAGGTTTATAAACGAAAAGAGGAGGCAGTTAGGGTAAGATATAAACAGCTATTGGAGGATAGATGGGCTAATGAGAGCATAGGCAATGGGGTCGAAAAGGTATGGGGTAGGTTTAAAAATGTAGTGTTGGAGTGTTCAGCAGAAGTTTGTGGTTACAGGAAGGTGGGTGCGGGAGGGAAGAGGAGCGATTGGTGGAATGATGATGTAAAGAGAGCAGTAAGGGAGAAAAAGTTAGCATATGAGAAGTTTTTACAAAGTAGAAGTGATGCAAGGAGGGAAGAGTATATGGAGAAAAAGAGAGAGGTTAAGAGAGTGGTGAAGCAATGTAAAAAGAGAGCAAATGAGTGGGTGAGATGTTATCAACAAATTTTGTTGAAAATAAGAAAAAGTTTTGGAGTGAGATTAACAAGTTAAGGAAGCCTAGAGAACAAATGGATTTGTCATTTAAAAATAGGAGAGGAGAGTTATTAAATGGAGAGTTAGAGGTATTGGGAAGATGGAGGGAATATTTTGAGGAATTGTTAAATGTTGATGAAGATAGGGAAGCTGTGATTTCGTGTATAGGGCAAGGAGGAATAACATCTTGTAGGAGTGAGGAAGAGCCAGTTGTGAGTGTGGGGGAAGTTCGTGAGGCAGTAGGTAAAATGAAAGGGGGTAAGGCAGCCGGGATTGATGGGATAAAGATAGAAATGTTAAAAGCAGGTGGGTGATATAGTTTTGGAGTGGTTGGTGCAATTATTTAATAAATGTATGGAAGAAGGTAAGGTACCTAGGGATTGGCAGAGAGTATGCATAGTTCCTTTGTATAAAGGCAAAGGGGACAAAAGAGAGTGCAAAAATTATAGGGGGATAAGTTTGTTGAGTATACCTGGTAAAGTGTATGGTAGAGTTATTATTGAAAGAATTAAGAGTAAGACAGAGAATAGGATAGCAGATGAACAAGGAGGCTTTAGGAAAGGTAGGGGGTGTGTAGACCAGGTGTTTACAGTGAAACACATAAGAACAGTATTTAGATAAGGCTAAAGAGGTCTTTGTGGCATTTATGGATTTGGAAAAGGCGTATGACAGGGTGGATAGGGGGGCAATGTGGCAGATGTTGCAGGTGTATGGTGTAGGAGGTAGGTTACTGAAAGCAGTGAAGAGTTTTTACGAGGATAGTGAGGCTCAAGTTAGAGTATGTAGGAAAGAGGGAAATTATTTCCCAGTAAAAGTAGGCCTTAGACAAGGATGTGTGATGTCACCGTGGTTGTTTAATATATTTATAGATGGGGTTGTAAGAGAAGTAAATGTGAGGGTCTTGGCAAGAGGCGTGGAGTTAAAAGGTAAAGAATCACACATAAAGTAGGAATTCTCACAGTTGCTCTTTGCTGATGACACTGTGCTCTTGGGAGATTCTGAAGAGAAGTTGCAGAGATTGGTGGATGAATTTGGTAGGGTATGCAAAAGAAGAAAATTAAAAGTGAATACAGGAAAGAGTAAGGTTATGAGGATAACAAAAAGATTAGGTGATGAAAGATTGGATATCAGATTGGAGGGAGAGAGCATGGAGGAGGTGAATGTATTCAGATATTTGGGAGTGGATGTGTCAGCGGATGGGTCTATGAAAGGTGAGGTGAATCATAGAATTGATGAGGGGAAAAGGGTGAGTGGTGCACTTAGGAGTCTCTTGAGACAAAGAACTTTGTCCTTTGAGGCAAAGAGGGGAATGTATGAGAGTATAGTTTTACCAACGCTCTTATATGGGTGTGAAGCATGGGTGATGAATGTTGCAGCGAGGAGAAGGCTGGAGGCAGTGGAGATGTCATGTCTGAGGGCAATGTGTGGTGTGAATATAATGCAGAGAATTCGTAGTTTGGAAGTTAGGAGGAGGTGCGGGATTACCAAAACTGTTGTCCAGAGGGCTGAGGAAGGGTTGTTGAGGTGGTTCGGACATGTAGAGAGAATGGAGCGAAACAGAATGACTTCAAGAGTGTATCAGTCTGTAGTGGAAGGAAGGCGGGGTAGTGGTCGGCCTAGGAAACACGCTCACGCATGCCTGCGTGAGCGTGTTAGGAGATAGGAGTGAATGGAGACAAATGGTTTTTAATACTTGACGTGCTGTTGGAGTGTGAGCAAAGTAACATTTATGAAGGGGTTCAGGGAAACCGGCAGGCCGGACTCGAGTCCTGGAGATGGGAAGTACAGTGCCTGCACTCTGAAGGAGGGGTGTTAATGTTGCAGTTTAAAAACTGTAGTGTAAAGCACCCTTCTGGAAAGACAGTGATGGAGTGAATGATGGTGAAAGTTTTTCTTTTTCGGGCCACCCTGCCCTGGTGGGAATCGGCCAGTGTGATAATAAAAAAAAAATAAAAAAACAGCGCACTAAGTCATATTCACACAAATGCAAGTAAATGAGAAAGACATGCATAGGTAAATTGCATTCTCTTCGATTGCAGGAAAGCATTTAATACAGTACTGTTACAGAAATTAGAGGAACAGGCAGAGTGCTCCAGTGAATTGGGGAGTACCTGAATAACGGAAAGTAGAGTGTAATTAGCAGGATTCTACTGGAATCTGTACTAGAACTTCTATTGGTCCTAATAATCATGAATAACTTACCAGAGAAGATAGTCTTTTTTTTTTTTGTCTGCAAATGATATAAAATAAATGAGAAGAATAAGAACAGGAGGGATAGTGATAAACTAAAAAGAAAAAAAAAATGTTAAGTGCAAAGTCTACGTGGATCATTCAGTGCAAGACATGGTGGAGGCTTCATCCTCTGTCTTCGTAGCACGAGACAGAAATGCTTCCTATTTGTACTCACCTAGGTGTTCTGATAAACTCCAGAGAGACCTGAGCAGACTACAGATATAGTCAAACAGTGGCCTTCTTCAGTTCAGCCAAAAACAAATGCATGATCAAGTGAATTAGAGAAGGTGAGGACAGACCAGACACAGAGTACTGCATGGATAAAGAGAAGCTGCACCTATCAGATTGAAAAGGACCTGGGTGTGGTACATAACATTAAGCATATTGCCAGAAATATATATAAACTGCATGAGATCAGCAGCACATGCAAGATTAATGAATTTTAGATGAAGCATGTGAATAAACTCAAAAAAGGTACCATAAAGAATGGACAGTGAGGAGAGGTTGAAGGAACTGAACCTGATGACCATAGTAATGTGAAGGACAAAGGGGCATTCACATACTTAAAAATGGTATTATTAATTTTTTCAAGAAAGTGGGCAGAATCCTAAATAACAAAGAATGGCTTTATGACAAATGCTGGAGAACCATGAAAAGTTAAAAAGAAAATTTATCCAGAAATTGTTATACAAGGTTAAGGAGGAGTAAGAAAGAGAATTTGGAAAGTTATAATAGACAAGAGTAAGACAGAACCAAATCTTTAATTTTAGATTGTTAAAAAAAAATTAAATCTGAAAGTTAAAATACAAGGAATTAAAGAAAATGCTGAAAATAACAGAATTGGAGAAGAAAGTGTGAGATAATAAGGTGAGTTACACAAAACCTGCACATAAGCTAGTGAGTAATAGCAAGCAGCAGTGTTACCAAATGCCATCATTGATTTCTTACATAATTTATTTTTAGATTAAGTTCAGTCAAGTTAGATTATCATTTATTAACAAATATAATTAATTATAGCACTAACTTCAGTCAGTATAATAATGCATGAAGGTGAAACTGTTTTGAAGCCCTAACAGAAAATTGGTACCCATGAAGTAGACTGAATGTGATTTGTAAAATGCCTGCTTTCCCAGTCATGAACCAGGCAGCAGGGGCATTGACCCCCTGGAGGAGTATACCCCAGGTATACTCCTCCAGGTAGCATCAAGATTGCTTTAGGGATAGTCTTGAGTCTCAGAAAAGTCTGCTTAAGAGGATGGGCAAAACTCATTTTTTAACATGTCTGTAATGAAGATGTTGTATAAGAAAGGAATTTGAAGCCATCACTCATACTTTGCTGATATTTTAATGCTTTCCAGGTATAAAATTACTTAGGAAACAATTTATATTTACAGAAGAAATAATTAGGTCATTTTTTTCTGCATTGTGTGTTGACCAGCAGTTTCCACTAAAACATTCATTTCTTCAGTATTTATATAATGATATATTTTACTGTAAAATTTTAAAGGTTTTCTTTCTTTTTGGGTCACCCTGCTTTGGTGGGAAATGACCGACGCATTAAATAAAAGTTTTTACTTGAAATTATATTACATGAAATACAGATTATATAATACAGTCAAATTATAATTAATGTTCCTTTTTTAATGGCATTTATAGGTTGCAGTATTTGCCGCTGACCATAACTGCTCTGAACCTTAAGGCTGTGTGGCTTAGTGAAAACCAGGCGCAACCTATGCTTAATTTCCAAACTGAGGTAGGCTATTGAAGAAATAATTGATTTCTTTTAATGCACCTGAAGAAACTTCATGTAATTCAGGTTTAATCTTTATATTTAAAACACTTCTATTATAATTCATTAGAGAAATATTAATGTAGATTTTGTGATAAATTCTCTTTGATTACACATTTGTAGTTACAGGAGCAGATCTAAGCAGATGATGACCTGTCGTCAGTGTATAATTTAGCATATTACTTCAACATAAGTGGTTATAGTTCTTTTAACTCTACTTTCATCCCATTTCAGTATTCTTTCATTATTTATGAAGAAAAACTATGCTATTCTTTGAACACCACTTTTTTTTTTTAAATCATTATTGTGGCTTCTTGTTTGTCTGGTGATGCTATGTTCAGTAGAGTATGGTAGTTTGTTGCATAATATGTATTCCATCCACTCTAGAGGTGAGAAGGGCAGTGCCCATATTCAGAAGGACTGGTTGGCATGTTGCAGTTGGAGGACAAACTTATTATTTTGTCATCTCACATTTGGACAGCCAGCAATTGAAAGAATAATAGTGAATGTGTTTTCTTCTTTGGGTCACTCTTCCTTGACAGGAGACGGCAGTTGAGGTTAAAAGAGAGAGAATATGTAGAAATTTCCCTCTTTCAGGGATCAGATCTGATTAATTCCAACCCTCCCCTTTTTCCTGGCACTGTATGATATTTATGGGGTCAATACTTTTATATGGATATAAAAATTTTTTTCCTTAGTGCAGTAATATTTTAGACATGAGCTACAAAAGATGCATGGTGTTTTTTAGACTTCATGATTAGAGGGGAAAAAATTCAGTCGTAGATCCTAATAATATACAGTACAGCCTCTCCTCACTTAATGATGGAGTTCCATTCCTAATACCGTGTTGATAAACGAATTCGTCGCTTAATGAGGAGCATACTAGTATAATGGTAGTGGATTTATGTCAACCATCTTTGATATTGCTTTAATGTCACCCTTGAACCATTTATAACATTTTTAGTATATTTTTAAATGTTTATATAATAGTGTACTGTATATTGTAATAAACAGAATAGAAGAAATCAGCTCAGATGTACGTTACTTAGGTATGCGTACTGGTCAGAGAGCTCATCGTAAGTCCGAGTCGTCGGTAAATGAGTACGTCGCTAAGTGAGGAGAGGCTGTAATTATGCTCAGGCTGTGTTTCTTGTGATTTTTTAAAGTTATTTAGGTCCTTCAGATCAGCTGAAAATTCTTATACATCTTTTGCATGGGGTTTCTACTTATTCAGTTGTGCATATGGGATTTAAAATGTGTTTATTTCTTGTATTATGCCATCATGCTTGTGCCTGTGCTATTACTGCTCTCTGAAAAGAGTTTTAGGCCTGCATGAGTATTTATATTCAGTTTCTTGTAGATGTAGAGTGCATAGTAGTATGTTATGTAATATTGGTCTGTATATTCAGTACAGTTGTCTGTACAGAGGGATAAAGTGTATGGTGTTTGGATCTAGACTGCAAAATAGCTTTGAGCAGCCTTTTTTGTTGTGTTATGATTGTATTAATGTTTTGAGTGTTAGCTACTTCTCGTACCCAATTAATACACTTGGCCTCCCTCTTTCATACATAATACAGCTTTTAAGTTCTACAATCTCTGCTTTCAACTCTGTAATCAGTTGCTATTTTGCCATAAGGTTTATTATCAGTAGCAGTGATAATTATCACTAGGTAGAGATAGGAATTTTGTCAACAGAGCCATCTCCTGTGTCTACCACTCGTGTATGCTGGACTATTCCAGTAATATATTGCCCTATGAACGCTTGTCTTTAGCATAATGTAAAATTTACTTTTTCAGGGAGAATCGGTAGAGAATGTATTATCTCAATGTTTGAATTCAGTTCAGTCAATATTGTATTGTATATAATAACTTTAGGATAGCCATTGCTGTACTTGCACATTCATTACTTGTGTTTTCATTTTCATTAAACACTTATGCTGTTCTGCCAAACAACAGAATTCTGTGCCCAGATATAGATTTTGTGAAGTATTTCCAGTGGGAGTAACCATAAGGCAACATGCAGTGAGGTTTTATTTATGCATCATACTCTTTGATCAGAATCTCATTAGTCAACATTTTGGTCTCATTTGCCTAGTTCTTTAGTCAACTATACTTTCTTTTGACGCTTTTATGAGTCTTGCATTGGAAAATTAAAAACACGCAAGTAGTATAATGTGATCCTTTATTGACAACATTTTGCCCACACAGTGGGCTTTATCAGTCACAAACAGTACTACCTGGGTGAAAGGTACCTGAGTATTTATAGGATGGAATCAGGTGGAGAATGCTAGGTAGGTTGGATCCAAACCTGCATGTGACAATCTTCTGAGTAGGGTGATAGAGGCTAAGACCTTGGGTAACTTTAAAAAGAGATTGGACAGATATATGAGTAGGCCTTCTGCTGTAGTGTTCCTCCATTCTTATGTGGGATAACGATGAAGTTTCTTGGCAAGGAGTTCAGCTGTGTTATGGAAACCATTGTTTTGGTTGAAATTGTTGGATATACAGATAAGTGATGATTCAAGGATTCTGTGGTATTGAGTGTTTTCTTCTCTGATGATAAGTCTTGTGTTTCTGTAGTTGATTAAATGGTTGTGTGAATTTTGGCGTTGAACTCAGGCATTCCTTAAATCGTCCAATCTGCCTGCATTCTGGTGTTCTGAAATACATGTTTGAAGGTCTCTGGATGTTTTACCCACATATAATTTGCTGCAGTCATTACAAGGAATTATATGCAGTGGACCCCCGCATAGCGATTTTAATCCGTGCAAGAGGGCTCATTGTTATGCGAAATGATCGGTATGCGAATGAATTTTCCCCATAAGAAATAATGGAAATCAAATTAATCCGTGCAAGACACCCAAAAGTATGAAAAAATTTTTTTACCACATGAAATATACATTTTCCTACACACAAAGAGAAGGATACATGCACAATAGTAGAGTAGTACATGCACAGTACAGTGGACCCTCAACCAGCGATATTAATCCGTTCCTGAGAGCTCATCGTTAGTCAAAATAATCGTTAGTCAAGTTAATTTTCCCCATAAGAAATAATGGAAATCAAATTAATCCGTGCAAGACACCCAAAAGTATTGAAAAAAAAAAAATTTTACCACATGAAATATTAATTTTAATACACACAAACTGAAGATTACATGCACAGTTACATGACACTTACCTTTATTGAAGATCTGGTGATGATTGATGGGATGGGAGGAGGGGAGAGCGTTATCTTCTTACTGTTTAGAAGGGGAATCCCCTTCCATTAGCACTTGAGGCAGCAAGTCTTTTTCTGGGGTTACTTCCCTTGTTCTTTTAATGCCACTAGGACCAGCTTGAGAGTCACTGGACTTCTGTCGCACAACATATCTGTCCATAGAGGCCTGTACCTCTCGTTCCTTTATGACTTTCCTAAAGTGGTTCACAACATTGTCAGTGTACAGGGTGCCAACACGGCTTGCAGTAGCTGTGTTAGGGTGATTATCATCCATAAAGCTTTGCACTTTAAGCCACATTGCACAGACTTCCTTAATCTTAGAAGTAGGCAACTTCTTCAATTTCTCTCTCCCCTCCTCCGAAGCAGTTTCCTCAGGTCTGCCCTCTTGCTGTTCAAGATGATCTAGCAGCTCATCAGTGGTTAGTTCTTCACTGTCCTCCACCACCAACTCTTCCACATCCTCCCCACTGACCTCCAACCCCAAGGACTTCCCCAATGCCACAATGGATTCCTCAACTGGCATAGGATTCTCAGGGTTAGCCTCAAACTCTTCCAAATCCCTTTTGTCTACACATTCTGGCCACAGTTTTTTCCAAGCAGAGTTCAATGTCCTCTTAGTCACTTCCTCCCAAGCCTTACCTATAATGTTTACACAATTGAGGATGGTAAAATGATCTTTCCAAAGCTCTCTTAGAGTCAGTTGAGTTTCTGAGGTCACTACAAAGCACCTTTCAAACATAGCTTTTGTGTACAGTTTCTTGAAGTTGGAAATAACCTGCTGGTCCATGGGCTGCAGGAGAGGAGTGGTATTAGGAGGCAAAAACTTCACCTTAATGAAGCTCATGTCCTAGAAAGTCGCTCTGCCACATCTGTAGGATGACCAGGGGCATTGTCTAATACCAGGAGGCACTTAAGGTCTAATTTCTTTTCAATTAGGTAATTTTTCACATCGGGGGCAAATGCATGGTGTAACCAGTCATAGAAAAAGTCCCTAATGACCCATGCCTTACTGTTTGCCCTCCACAGCACACACAAATTAGCCTTGAGGACATTGTTTTTCCTGAACACTCTGGGGGTTTCAGAGTGATACACCAATAAAGGCTTCACTTTGCAATCACCACTAGCATTGGCACACATCAACAAAGTAAGCCTGTTTTTCATAGGCTTATGTCCTGGAAGTGCCTTTTCCTCCTGAGTAATGTACGGCCTGCTTGGCATTTTCTTCCAAAACAGGCCTGTTTCGTCACAATTAAACACTTGTTCAGGTTTCAGTCCTTCACTGTCTATGTACTCCTTGAAGTCTTGCACATATTTTTCAGCCACTTTTTGGTCCGAACTGGCAGCCTCACCATGCCTTATCACACTATGAATGCCACTACGCTTCTTAAATCTCTCAAACCAACCTTTGCTGGCCTTAAATTCACTCGCATCACTAGTTGCTGGCATTTTTTTAATTAAATCGTCGTGCAACTTCCTAGCCTTTTCACATATGATCGCTTGAGAGATGCTATCTCCTGCTATCTGTTTCTCGTTTATCCACACCAATAAAAGTCTCTCAACATCTCCTATCACTTGCGATCTCAGTTTCGAAAACATAGTTGCACCTTTGGCAAGAACAGCTTCCTTGATTGCCGTTTTCTTGGCCACAATAGTAGCGATGGTTGATTGGGGTTTATCATACAACCTGACCAGCTCAGAGATACGCACTCCACATTCATATTTATCAATGATCTCTTTCTTCATCT